CAGATGTAAAATGAGTGTTCTAACTCTAACTCTCCTATTTTCATATCTACACCATACTTATAATGTTTTAACAGGATGTCCTGTTATAGAAGTTAAAATACTTCTGGAAACTTCTTTCCAAGCATTATCTAACAATGTCGGATTTTTATCTACTAGTTCTGCACTTAGTAGTGAAGATTGAGTGCCTGTATCAACCAATAACTGACATATTATACCTTCTATTTCTACTATTGGTGATACTTCATTAACACTATGGACACTCAATCTTTTATCCCAAATTGCTGATACTACCTCTACTTTTGCACTGTAATTCAGGTGTGGATTACATTTTGTTATCCTAAAATGAATGTAGGGCTACTGTTATTTTTTGGAAACTTTCCCCTATAAGTTTCAGCTTTTGGGGCTTTTCTGTTATCTGCTTTCTGCTGACGTCAGCAGTCAGGAGCTATGTGACCCTTAATGCCACAATTAAAACATGCTATTTGCTCATTTCTTTTCAGTTTCTGAAAACAGTTTTTTGCCATGTGACCTACTTTGCAACAGTTAAAACATTGGAAGCCTTCAGGCTTACTTTGCTTGTTTTGTCAATCTGTTTTACTTGGTCTATTCATTACATTCACAGCAGAATGTTTAGTGCTTTATATCTGTTTCTCTCGTAGCTCCCCTTGGGTAGTTACTTCAATTAGATCAAGCAAAGCTGCTTAAGGAGTATTTACTTCATTTACATGACATCTAGCTGAATTACTGTACAATGCTCATTCATATTCAGATTTTAGAGTGTCTTGTATAATTAACTCATTTGGGAGTGTGTAAGCCCCATGGAACCTATTTCCTAACTCTCGACAGATTCACCTCATTGCTGAGTTAAGTCACACATCTCTGTTAAGATTACATTTATTGTTTCTTGCTTCTTATACTCCTCAACTAACCTACATGCTAGATACTAAAAATTTGTGGTTTCCTGATGTTCACTATATGCCCTAATAGAGCATTTTGCTTCTCCTGCTGTTCTTAATCTCAATATGTCTGCTTACTGGGCATCAGTCAAGCCTGATATTCTGGCAGCTTCATTTAAGGTGTCAATAAAGTCTTCAATATCCTCATCTACTCTACCATGATATAATGGTAAGGCACTCATTAAATGTGTGGACCTTCTTGTATGGGTTGTTCAGCCCCAGCTTCATAGTTAGTGTCAGCTCTTCTTTCAACTCTAGGGCATGCACCACCTTCTTCTGTAGTTGTATCTACACTAGCAGTAGCCATATTCACTTACTTACTACTTATTTTTAACTTATGCTACTTATAGTACTTCAGCTGACTTTCTTAGTTTTACTCCTTTCTCTACTCTAACCAACCTGCCAATAGCTACTCCAAAAACCCTCGAGACTGCGCCAGTTGTAATGGACAGTGCCCTTAGGGCTAGTTGTTGGAGTTTTGACTATACTGTCAATTACACCAAATTTATTTATTTGAGGATTGCAGTGGCGAGTGGAGCTCACAAGTCGCTAACTCGAGGTGATTTATGGTTAGACTAAAGAAACTGATCCTGAGGCTGATATTCAAAACAATACATCAAATTTATTTAAGTTTATGAACATAAACTACACTTCTTTAATCATTTATTAACTCTTCATAAAAGAAAAATACGTTTGGGTTAACAACACTAATATTTATAACTCATACATAACACCAAGTTTCTTAGCTTTTATATGCTTCCTTAGAGTGTATGCAATTCACATTAATTGATTAAGTTTGTTTTGTTTTAAGTTTCGTACAAACATACATGAGGGCTATCTGTCCCTAATTTAGCAGTGTAAGACTAAAGGGAAGGCAGCTAGTCATCACCACCCACCGCCAACTTTTGGGCTACTCTTTTACCAACGAATAGTGGGATTGACCATCACATTATAACATCCCCACGGTTGCAAGGGCGAGCATGTTTAGTGTGATGGGGATTCGAACCTGCGACCCTCAGATTGTGAATCGAGTGCCTTAACCACCTGGCCATGCCATGATGTTAGTGAATAATGACTGAATATCAAAGCTGGCCCTAACGAATTGGTCTGCATTAGGAAATTTATATATCTCTTGAGCAAAGGAAATAAAACCTTTAACAGAAAATTCGTTCCTAGTAAGTGAGCTTAATGCAGGGTCAAGATATTTAGCAAATTTGTAGGCATAGGAACCAAGGATAGATAGAATAGGTCTGGGGGGTAAACCATTTTTGTGTATTTTCGGTAAGCCATACATAAAATCAGGGCAGGAATCTGTAGGATAAAGTTCTGCAAAAGTGGTGTCAAAGATAAGTTTAGTTTTTAAAATATCTTAAAGTCCATTAGTTTTTCCTCATGCTTGAGAGTATGCTTAAGCCAATCATTATGGAGGGGTTTAAACTTTGTTCTTTCAGTTAAAATGTCTTCGATTTTGGAGAAATAATCAGATGTTTTCCATTAATACTTTTCAAGTTATCCATCTACTTAACTTCATATTTATCAATGTTTAATGTCCCCACACTCTCATTGTTTTCTTAATATTATTAACTACCACTCTCTGTATGTATTGCATCATATGTTCTAATTTCTTGAAAATGTTTATGAAAACTCGATGTAATGTGCTCAATATGTGTGGGTTGCCACACATTTGTGTTTGTTTATATACATATTCTACAATTACCTTTCAAGTACTCTCATAGTTTATACAGCTTTTCTTCAGATAACACATGAACAATTTCAGTAATTTCCAAGTTATCTGCCAAAACTATACCAGCAGCTCAGTGATAAGCCTAAGGCCTCACAATACTAAAACCTGGTTTCGCTACTCATGGATAGCACACCACAGACCATAGTGTTGCTTTGCACTTAGCAACAAACAAGGGCCAAAGCTATACTTGGTAGTGTTAACTTGAGGCCATCAAGCTCAACTCCGTTTTCATTTCAGGCTTAATGAATTAAATAATCACTGGTAAAATTCAGACAATTCAAGACTTTTAAATCAAAAGTATATTTACTAAGATTAAAATTTGTATTATTACTAGTGTACTCATTAATTGTAGGTGTGGCATATCTTCTAAGAAGATCAACTAAAAATCTAGCGAGCACTGGATGATATGCTCTGCAGTGTTCTCAACACTCAAGACAGATTCTCAAAGCGAGTTTCTCGAAACATCAGACAACTTTTTGCATCAGAATATTCACTCTACGTTTTGAAAACTAAAGGGTTACAACTCCCTTTCAATCACTGATGTTTTTTAATAACATGATTGTCCAAATTATCGACAATCGAGTGATATTTTTTCGGTGTAGTACATACATCACATTCACATCTCAATATTACTTGATAGCTTGGAAAACATGGGGTTGCATCTCCCTTTCAATCACTGATCTTGTTTAATAACATAATAATTTATACTGTCAATAACTGAGTGATAACTCTTCAATGTAGTATATACATCACATTCACATCTCAGTGATCGCTTAGAAAGCAAAGAACACCATTTCCTTTCAGTCCATGATCATAATTTCCTCAAGATCTGATAACTCAGAGAACAAAAAACACTATTTCTTTTCAATCATTAGTTGTGCAAATTGACAACTGCCTTAGCTTTGATGATCAAGCAGAAACCACGTGGTGTAAAGCATACACGTTATTTCAGATTACTACTTGGGGCTTCCAACTACTTCATTGTTATAGCTATGGTGGTCAAACAGTAACCATATGATGTAGTGCTTAACACAGTATTCTGCATTATTACTTGTGGCTTGAAAAGCAAGGGTTCACTACGCCATTTTTGTCAATGGTCTTTCAACTAACTGGCAGTCCTAACTTTTAATAATCAGATGGAAATCACACAGTGTAGTGCATACCTTACAGTAAATATCAGCTGATAGCTTCAAAAGCAAGGAATTCCATTTCCTTTCAAACATCAGGCTTTCAATCTAATGATCATCCCAGCTTTAAAGAGTAATCCCATCAATATCCATCAGGTGACTGAAGTTGGTGTTTTGTCATGTTATACACGTGACTTAAAATATCCCCATAACCAGTAATTGGCTGATGAACAAGGTGGACATTCATGAAGAAAGTGATGTGAAATGATTTTGCTTTGAAAGTGCCTCCACAAGACGTGTTTCACCTTCCTATGACATATCTTTCATGAAACGTTCTTCATACTCTCCCTATATATATAGCAAGTTTCACAAGTGTTTAGCACATTGCAAATATAAATATATATCACTGGGTGAATAGTATGTTTTGAATAGATATACAGCATCCATTATATTGTGTATAGTGTGCTACACTTTAATTCATAGCAGCTGCTATTACAGGTATAATTGTATGCAGTAACTGCATATATATAGCAAATATCAACATGTTTATACTACGTAATGTTTAGATATAGAAGAAAAAAAAGTTTGTAGTGATATTTTAATATCAGCATACATATACTGAGATTTCTAAATTTCATTTTCTTGCCTTCGTGCCATCTCTTTAATGATATGACATTAATTATCTAAAATTTCCAATTTCAGAAATATTTCTAAGAATAACTTTAATAATGATATAAAAAAATGGCAGTTACAAACTTTTGTTAGCTGCATAAAAGCTACAAGTTTTTAATACATTTATCAAAAGAACACAAGGAGGTGTGATAAACTTATCAAATCATATTAAAATTAATACATATTATTATATGACTAAATCACAAGTAAAATTCATTAATTCTAACAAATTCAAAAATAAACATATAAAGGATACTGAAATATATAAGCAATGTAATATAGCCTCAAATAATAATGTTGGAGTGCTTAACACTTCAATGTTACAGAAATTTCATGATTTAGTGCTTAAAATCTAAAGATTCTCAAATTTTATATATCTACGTATAATTTTTTTCTTGTTAGCATTTAGATTTTTATAAAACGATATAAAATTCAAAATACTTAACACATTCAAAAATTCTGGACAGCCTATTAAAATATACTTATAATAAATTCACACAATTTGAAACAATATGCATACATTTTATTTTCATTTTTCTACAAAATTTCAGAAAAAGGTCTGAGTTAGAACACTTCCCTTTTCCTCTCAGTACCAGTTTTCACACACAACTTTTTATAGTTTGTTAAGTTTTCCAAACGTAGTTATTTTAGTCTGAAGAAATAAAAGTGTTGTAGTCTCAGTGTTATATACTTTCCATTACATAAACTTCCTGAAGTTTAATACACTTTCTTTATAAACACATAAAATAGGAATAAATACTTCCAATATTTGAACAAAACAAGACACGGCCAAACATTTATAGCAGATTCATGCTCATAATTTTTTTTTTTTTACACTTGTATTTCAGTTTTTATTTGGCTAATGACAAGTTACACAAGAAACCCATAAATCTTGCAACTTTAAATCACCTTTAATTTAGGCTTGATTCAAGCAAGTAAAAGAAGTTATTCATAAAACTTTTAAGTCACTGCTCTTTCTGATCACTTCATATTAGTATTTTCTTGTTTTCTAGACATTTCAACTTCTTTTCTGAAGTAATCCACTGTCTTCTGAAGACCTTCCTCTAACGTTATCTAGAATAAAAAGAGCATAATTTATTCAGTTAAAACAAATTAACAAGTCTATCAAAGCATTACAGCATAATCAGTTTTGTTACAAAGATTAACAGCATTTTAAGCACAAATTAAGTAAGAAAAAACAACATAAGTTTATAAAAATACAAAGTTTATTACCCGACTAGTTTTGACGAACCACCTGTGTCACTTGTAAGGGTATAAAAAGCTGTTAATCTTTATAATATTTAAAGGTAGCAATAAATATTGCATAATTTTATTATAATCAGTCTTATATTTTAAAATGATGTGATCACCTTTATTTCTAGACATAAGGTCAAAATATTATTAAAAATTATTAAACAGATAAATGTATGAAATGAAATTATACTTCACATAAAATATATGATTATTTAACAACAACAAATATATATATATATATAAGAAAATATGAAGCATGGTTAGTTGTAATACAGGGTAAATGCAAAATTTTATGTAGTTTTTGTTAAAGAAACACTTCTGCATGGCTATTGTTTATGGACAGTATCTGCCTTGAGAATCAAAATATCACAACTAGTTATTGACCAGAAACAATATTTTTTTGGCTTGACAATTGAAACTTCCTAGCCACTTATTATCTATAAACAACGTTCTTATGTACTCTGAGAGTCAAAACTTCTCACAGTTTTTTTTTCCATAATCAACATTTTTGTGTGGTTTGACAATTAAAACTTCCCAAACAGTTGTTGTCCATAAACAACATCCTTGTGTGGCTTGACAGTCAAAGCTTCCTAAACAGTTGTTGTCCATAAACAACATTATTTTGTGGCTTGACAGTCAAAACTTCCCAAACAGTTGTTGCCCATAAACAACAGTATTATGTACTATGAGAGTCAAATCTCCTCAAACAGTTGTTGACCATAAACAACATTCTTGTGTGGCTTGAGAATCAAAACTTCCCAAACAGTTATTGTCCATAAACAACATTCTTGTGTGGCTTGACAGTCAAAACTTCCCAACCAGTTGTTGCCCATAAACAACAGTATTATGTACTTTGAGAGTCAAATCTCCTCAAACAGTTGTTGATAAAGAACATCCTGATATCTACTTCACTGTGTGGAACTTCTAAACTTCTGAACTTTGTTTAAAGATATACATTAAATTTAAATGAAATATAATATTAACTGCTGTATTTTAAACAGCAAAGAGACAAAGCACAGATAAATACTTTTACCTTAGGACTCCAGTTTAAATAGGTTTTGGCTCGTGTGATGTCAGGTTTCCTTTTTTGAGGGTCATCTTCAAGTCCTTCTTTGAAAACTATAGGACTAGAACTTCCTAAATACAACAAAAATAATAATATAACAAGAAATGCATATAGGTATATAATGAAAATATGTTAAAATTATTAATTTTTTACAAGATAACAATAAGCAAGCTATTTCTATTGTTATAAATGCACAAAACAATTATCTTTAACTACATCTTTAGTAATTTGAATTCAGGTGGAATATATTTGAGAGAGGGTTATAATTATCTACTGGATTCTGCTAAAAGTGTCTGGCAACTAACAAGAAAAACCTATTTTTAAATTAATTTTTATAATATTATTTTAATTTTTCCCTACCATGGAGTTATCTTAAGTGATTAAAATTATTTGATGAAAAACAGGTTTAACACCAAGAGGCTTAAAAACATTTGAAAGATAAAAAAAAAAATGTTAAGTATCAATTAAAGTATACAAGTTCTTTTATACAAATCAAAAGGTCTTGAAAAACAAAAGCAAACTGGGTTACACTCATGACACCAATGAGTAATATATATATATTCCAATAACTTTAAAAATAAGACAACTTCAACCTTTACAAATGTGGCTGCAATATTATCCACACACACACACACACACACATGGTCATTCTTTTTTTTTAACCCTATCCCTGTCCTGTGCATCACATGTGATTCACAAGATAAAAATCTAAAGCACCTGAGTATCATATGTGATACACAGCTACATTTATTTGATATGCAGCTGATCCTACTGAACATGGCAATAAGAACTGGTTGTTTTGATTCAATGTATGAGATTAAAAGAGAGCTTCATATGAGTATCACAAGAGGCTCAAGGCACAAATGAATGATGATGAGAAAATGTTAACCTAGGATTTTTAGTTGCTAAAACTCTTCACTCCACTCTCTTTCAATAACACTAGAACAATACCTTCACTTATACCTACTTGGGTAAATAGTCAAATAAGCATATCCGTAAAAACCAGAAAATGATCTCATATATGGAAAAGGTTAAGACACAAAATGTTAACCTAGGATTTTTAGTTGCTAAAACTCTCCACTCCACTCTCTTTCAATAACACTAGAACAATATCTTCACTTATACCTACTTGGGTAAATAGTCAAATAAGCATATCCGTAAAAACCAGAAAATGATCTCATATATGGAAAAGGTTAAGACACAAATTGTATTCTTATCTGTCTCTCATTTTTTTTTTAAAACCAAATCACAAAACTAAATTCTTTTAGAAAGATATCCTAATCTAGTAGTTTTTTCCTCATACTAAAATGTAAGTTAAAAAAATTGTTGTATTATTTAAAATGCATTAAGTCAGCAGGGTTTTTTCATCCTCAAATTACAAAGGAACAGAAAATAGTTAAAAATGTATTACTGTTTTGCTGCACCCTGTTTTTGTACTAACACAATTTAATTTAGTCAGTATATTTTAAAACAAGTACTTACATAAATTAAATTTCTTTCTATCATACACACAAAAAGAGATATCTACGAAGACTTACCAACAAAATTTTTAATAAGATATGCAAATTCTTCAATAGAGTATTCATCAGGATTTCCCAAGTTGACAGGAAAAGAATAATTTCCATTCATTAAAGCAAGGAGTCCTTCCACAAGATCGGATATATATTGAAAAGCACGTGTTTGTTTGCCAGTGCCATAAATCTAGAGGAAATGAAAATTTTTGCAGTGATGTATTACTGGTTTCCTTACAGAAAACAAATTCTAAGTAATTTGATTACTGCAGTCCTAGACTGTTAAGAGAAAAATTTATAAGTTTATTAACATGCACTCAAATTATAGATCTTTTGTATAAGTTACTGTACTTTACTCAATTTATGATGTGCTCTACATTATAACAATTTATTTCAAAGCTGAGTTTCATTACTAATTGTACAGACCAGATGCTGTGAAATCATAAAATTATGACATCAAAGGACTATAGTAATAAAACCATTGACAGAAATATAAGATATGAATCATTATGTTTGCGATAGATAACTTCTTCACAAATAAAATCGTATACCTTGGGATGGGTAGAAAAATCCGAACAAAAATTGAAAAATATGATATTTACAGGCAAGACTCCTTGGAACAGTGCAAGCAGAAAGGAAGTCAAACATTTTTTTTAAGTGAATTACGCTAAATAAATGTTATATAATGACAAAATATCAATTATAAAATAATTTTGAGAAAAAAAATATTAAAATATAGTTAAAATTATTATTTTTACTTAAATTATGAAATCTGATACACAGGTGTGCACTCAACACCTAAAAGGTGCTCACTAGTCATGATAGGGTTAAATACATGAACTAAAAATGAAGTGTAGCTTCATAAAGAACAATACTTTTATTTATATTGCTAATTGTATTAAGGCACTTGATCAATGGACAACACCACCCACTGTATCCTCCAGCAACACAAAAATGAGGAATGTTTATGTCTCAATTAAAAGTGTTTGTTATTGTTGTGAATGAAGTTTGTACCCTGTACCTCACATTCAATGCACAGTAAAGAATTACCTTTTGATGTTCAGTATTTGTTATCTATTTTGTTTTTTTTTCAATACTGGTAACTACAAAACTTAAAAAAAAATATTAAAGTAACATTATGGTTTACTGTATTAACCTAACTTACCGTGATTGGAAGATTTTCCAATGCTTGGAAAATAAAATTACTGACTACACGTCCATCATGAATATGCATTCGTGGACCATAAGTATTGAAAATTCGAGCAACTCGGACTTCAATATTTTCCTGTAATAAAGAAATTTTCAAGTATATAAATGCACTTTATAAAAAATTGCCATCTATAGCTTTTTTTTACAATGATATATTTACCAAAATCATTAAATTTTTTGTGGTCTACTACAACATGCAGGTAACCATCAGGTATCATGAAGTACAGTGTGTGGTTGTACTTTACTGAGATTATTTAAGAAATACAAGTAGTTTTTGACCTATGTTTCCTCTTCTGAAGAAGCATCAGAATGTATCAGAGCATACTTGTATCATTTTCAGTGTATCATATCAGAAATGGATCACCAATACACAGCCCTAATCAGTAATATTAACCATCAATTCATTTCACATAATGTATTGTAATGAGTTTTTTCTTTCTTGCTACAATATTCAGTACCAAAAAAAAATGGAAAAAAATTACATGAAGTCACTCAAAGGACCTTACATGAAGTAGTGGGTTTAAGGATATTTTTTGGAGCAGGATATAACAGTCATGTCTTTAAAGTTTGGCAAGTTTTAACTCGGTAAAATTTAACTTTATCATGAAATAATATTCCTTGTTATCATAAAAGGGTTAATGTGAAATATACTGGTACTAAACACTAATTTTGGCATACTTTCATCACTTCTATTCATGTTGTTCCTTAAGTTGTTGCTGGGTGTCAAGGAGCTCAATATTTAATGCTATGTAATTACATTTTAAAAGTAGTAAAAGTTCATCTACACAGTCATAATGTGTAGTTGTGAAAATATGTCAAAATCTAAGAAATCTACTGGAAATTTTAAAACATTTTGAGGTTATCCCACAAAACTGATAAACTCACAACACAGGCACTGTACAGATACTGTACTCCACTACAGTTTGGTAAATACTGGTACATTACTCCACTTCTAGTACCAACTTTTCATGCCTAACTAAATCTACAGTAAATAACTTTCATTTTAAAAAGGCATGTCAAATCACCACCATGCACTTCAAAATCAGATTAAACTGAAGATAGATAGTTGTAGTTAATACTTTTCTTTGCACTGTTTGCTACTTACCTGCTACAATCTTTTATTAACATAGACTGAGGATTAACTAATCATAATTAAACAAAGGCAAGGGATTAGGCTACTGGACCAACCATTTATCAGAATAGGAATGTTGACTATAATTCTGAATTTACTATGTGTATGCATGAAATGTGGCAAGTCTGTTGTACACAAAAAAATCAGATATGTTACAAATGTATTTGTACTCAAGATAAGACTGTCAATTGCCGATAAGTCAAATTGCAATACTTTTGTTCATTGCACAGTTTGCATATTGCTTTTCAATAACTCTAGTACCTCCAAAGTGTATATCTACAGTTTTTTCAGTATTCCTGTATATTGTATCTTGTATTTATTCTCCTCTACCATGAACTGCTACTAAATCAGCAATGTTGAGTAAAATGAATTGTTGATAACTCTGACATTAAATACCATGCTGAATGGCACTCTGTAAAAGGTCATTATATACCTACTTTGTCCTCCACTCATGCACATAGGGTTAATAAGTATCTATACTTATACAAATAAGTATCTACCTCAATAAAAAGCATTTTCACACTTTTAATAATATTTCTAACATTCTTTTTTGGATTTTCTGAAAATTACAAAAAATTACTGAAGTAAAAACACAGCAAAACAAAAAGCACAAACCTCAACTGTATCCCTCCATACTTCTAAATTTAGTCCTTAATGGACTTTAACTTTGTGATAAAATTTTGCAAGACTAAAACCAACTATCACTGCAACTTAAGTCATACTTTTCTTGCATAAGCATAACACAGGGCTTCAGCAACACGTTTCCCTTCATCATAACAAGCTCGTGGACCAATAGGATTAACATGACCCCAATAATCTTCTGACTGGGGATGAATCTCAGGATCTCCGTAAACTTCAGAAGTAGAAGCAACTAAGAGTCTTGCTCCTACCCTCTTAGCTAAACCTGAAATAAAAAAAGATTTGAAGATATTATCATTTGTTCACAGACAAAATATTAAATTTATCACAGAAAAATTCAGACTTAAAGCTCAGTTTACAATCAATAAAAGATTTGAAATTAATAAAATTAAAAACATTGTAATTTTTTTCATTTAAATTAGCAGGTATAAATAAAAATTTATATGTGCTCTATTGTCTTTGTTAAAACAAAGAATTTGGAAAAAATTTTTTATCAAGACTAACTTTTGTATTACTTATATTGAAAGACCTTGCCTATAGATCTGTAAACATCTATTTTCACAATTACATTTAATGCTTCCACTTCGGAAAAATTATTTCAAATTTAGACACTGAGCAAAATAAACTACTTCATTAAGCTTTATAAAAATACAACAGTTTTGTTTTACAGTCAATAGAATGTAATTTATATATATATATCCATATAAATATTCTTTGAAAAAAATAACACATCAAAACAAGTATTCTCCCTTCTACTGTATCATTTTGTACTGAAATATAAAAAATTGGTTAGTTATCTTTTAAACTGTAGGATGGATTGTATAAAAATACTTTCTCCTGAACAACATACCTACATATGGAGGTTTGGGAATATAAAATGCTTATTGTAGACAAATGTTAGGTATTTTCCAAATCAAGTCACAGAATACTATATACTTGGCTGAAAACATTATTATGAAATATGCTTTCTTAGCCTGGAAGTGTAAAGATTAAATGCATGTTAAGAAAGCTCAAGCTGTATGTTTTGACCTTTTTTTTACCATCCAATCCCAACACAAAGTTAGATCTAAAAGTATATTCTATTTATTGCATTGCAACAAGAAAGAACTCAATGACAAGAGAACATGTCTGAAAAGATAGTCTGAAAGACAATACTTATTAATCTAAATCAACTTTGTATATTTTATCTGAGATGATTAAAAAGGAAAGAACACACTGAGATGTGATTCACACACACAAGAATGAAAAAGTTTACTCACCAAGCATGTTGATTGTTCCAAGTGTGTTAGTCTTAATTGTTTTAACTGGATTTAGCATGTAGTGAGGAGGAGATGCTGGTGATGCTAGATGATAAATCTGGTCAACTGGACAAAACAAAGTGAGTATATAATTTTGTGGAATTAATCTACAACCATTGAGTTGTTAGTTTTCAGCAGATCTACTAAATAAACAACACAATTTTTTTGGGGGAAAACCTACATTCAACGAGTTATTAATCTATTGGATATGTAAAGAATACCTCTCACTTCTGTGGTAAGCATCTACAGTTCAGTGACCTTTTCCACTTGTTACACAACCACAGTTGTATTCCATACGAGTTTCATTTGATTCTGATCTTGAGAATGTAAATACTCAAAATGTCACAATTTGTTACCACAATGAAGAAAATACACAAACTTCAGTATTCTAGTTTAACAGACCCTATATCATACTTCATACTTTGAACACCTTCAGCTCTTCAATAAAGAAGAATGTTTTAGGAGATTCAACACCCTAAACTTTAACAGAAGTCACTATCTGCCTTTCAAACACTTATCTCAGCAAAGTTAATGCAATGAAATACCTAGACATATAGTTTTCACTCACAATATATGTATTCTATCTCACTAAGTATGGATTTCAGTTTTCCTTGTAAAATGTAATATATAGGTCAAACTCTGGTTTTGTAAGGTATACATTTGAAATGTCAACATGTGATCATTATACCTGGTCATAATTTTAGCATTATGTATGTTGTGCTATTGACCATTTAAAAAAAAAAAGTTTAATGCACATTATTTCCAGTAATAATTTATCAATATAATTATTGCAGTAAAATTTCTGTGGCCAATAAAATTCTAATTGAATATGCATTTTACATTACAAATTAAACTTATCTTTCCAAGTGGATGTTCATCAATTGAATGTATGTAGGACTATTTACCTTTAAGTAAGTACATATCAACAAGGCTTAATCAGTGATGCATACTAATAGACTAGTATTAAGCGTTTGTGGCATAATATTATATAATTATTGTATTCATATTAGACAAACAAAATATCTTGCAGGTTTCTAACATTTTATTACAAAATAAGGTAGTAAGACAATTTCAAAGCCATGATAAAGTGAGTTATTAACTACAGTTTACTTGAGGTTCAGTGTGAGTATTTTTGTTTACCAATAAACTACAGAATACAAAGAAAAACCACTGCTCCATTGGAGATAGTTAAATGCATAACTTTAGCTGTGGGTGATAAATCTAAACAATGTTTTAGCACATGTAGAACATTATTATGAGTGTGAACATTTTACTGGTTGTAGTTGAATTATGTAAATTAGTGTTCAGGAATATGATCTAATTGGTTGAGAGTGCATATCAGATAAGTCTCAATGTATAACAATAACTGTTTAATCTTTTCAAGACCCTGGGGTGTCATTGACATCCCTGGATTTGTTTTTTTTTTAGAATTGAAATACTTAACTAAATTGCATGAATTTTTTTACAGTCTTACAAAATATTATTTAGTATTGACTTAAAAAAAACAATCATACACCTTGAGTTACTTTCTCATCATTTTTTACATCATGACATATCCAAAATTTTGTTATGACATAATTTTGAAATTTAAAAAACATTCTGACTACTTTTTTTTTATCTCAGAATTTGATATTTGTTTTTATGGTTGATCAGAAAGCTTGATTTTATATATACAATCAGTTTCAACTTCATTACTTGATGTTTACTACCATATTAATTTTGATACTTTATTTTCCTGTTTACAATAGTCACCACTTCCAATTAAAACTAAAAAAACACAGTAAAACTGATAAAGATTTTTGATGATCTATAGCCAGACTCATCACAATAGTGTCAGATCAGACTAGGTAACAATATTTTCAACTAACAATATTCTTGGTCAAAATCTCACAAATATAATATCTTTTCAATAAATAATAAGAACATTTTGTTAACCTGTGTGGCTTGAATATGGCAAAATTAACAATAATATTCAATAAATAAGGATTTGAGTCACATAAATATTTTGTCTTCACCTACCATACCCACTAAATCTAACTAGCCTTATCTGATGTTTTGTCAAGAATAAGCTTTCCAAAAGATATAATTTCACATAAAAACATTTTCAGAAATGAAAAGAACATCTAAGGAACTATAAAGTAATTTCAAGATATGTGGTTTGTTCACCTCTGCAGGAGCTTCATGTTTTCTTTATCCCTCAGTACCATAATTTACTACTCAAACTACCTTATTCTACAATCATGTAAATACTTTATAATTTGTTCTATCCATTGGTATTTAAATTTTGTCTATCTGTATTTTCAAAGCTGAATTTCATTAGTGATTGTTAAGACCACATGCTGTGACATCATAAAAGGGCTGGTATGATGGCTTGTAGTTATAAAACCTCAAACAGAGAAAAAATATCAGAGAACAATAAAACATGGTTTATTGTATTCTCAAGTGATGATAGTCTATTAACTTCATTGGGATAGGCAGAAAATGTTACAAATATGGCTCCCGGGAGTTATTCAGGAATGTAAGTTTGGATAGTTTTAGTATTTTTCTTTGGAAATTACAATAAATAAATATCACAAAGTGACAAAATATCAATTCTAAAATACTTTTTGAGTTAAACATTGTTGAGTTAAGGTAAGAATTGTTATATTTACTTATTTTTTGAAACTTGATCTGCAGTCCAGAAAAAGTAAAAAACTGGAAGACCAATCATTAGTGCCATAACTATAATCTCCAGTAGAAATCAACAACACTGATAATGTGTTGAGCAAGTTCTTTTGTTAACTATCCCTTGAGAAAGCAATTAATCAATTATTTATATTTGCCAGTACCTTTAAAAGCTGCAGTTATCCTATTTATTATCCTATAAGATTCATTTTCTAAACAACAATAAAATTCATGAACCTGTGGGATTATTCAATATAAAAATAATTAATTCCACTCATCTAAAGGTAGTTTTACTTTTTATTTTTATTATAAGTTATATTTTAAACTTCCTGAAATGGTTAATTATTGCTTTATTATTCACTTTGTTGTTAAATGCTTCTTTTAATGATGGTTAAATACTTTAAATGAATCCCTGGCTTTAAATAAATGTATAAGTACAAAATAGAAGAGTGCTAGCAGTGTGTACACGAGACTTTTCAGAATACAAAACCAAACAAAAATGAAAGTAATCTAAAATATATCCAATCCACGAATGATAAGTAACATGGATACCATAGTGTTTTGATGTCTAAAACAAAAGATAAGCTTATGTAATCATATTGAAAAAATGGCTTTTCTATATACAGAAATAGAATTACAGTTGTACATACAATTTGCCTAGGTAGTTGTATAGATGGATGATGTTTTGAGTCACCTGTATGCTCCTTTCTCAATTGTCTCAAAAAAGTATCCACCCTCTCAACTATCTAAGTGTATTGTCCATACAATTCTCAAGTAGTCTAATGATTTCACTAGACAAACATGTCTCTGAAACAATGCATATACATATTAAACACATACATAATCAGTTCCCAAAAAAATAACTTATGACCAAAATTCACCTTTCAAAAACCTAAAAATTACATCTTAAAGAAATACATCCATCCTGAGATGATGATTAACTCAGTAAACTCTAACAATCTTTATAGGAAGAACCAGAGAATATGCATCATTAAATGAACTAGTGATAACAAATCATGTCAAACAATTCCATGTAAAGAAAATGTAACTGACATGCTAGAAAAGAAATATTTTTAGCTTAATATTTGTTTGAAAGTAAAGTTTTTTTCAGATATATTAAATTATATTACATAAATAAAAGCATTTTTCTGAATAATAAGATTAGAAAATGTTAACTTCTGAGACAATAACTCACCTCGACACACAGTTTAGCTAGAATCCCACACTGAGATGGTGGGATGACTGGTACAAATGTTACCTAGATGAGCTCTCATTAGAAAGCACCCAAAGAAAAACCATGATGTGTGGCACTCTATGGCAGGATCTTCATAGGAGCATACCCATGGGAGACTATCTCAGGTTATACTTTTTGCTAATATACAAAGGGAAGAGGCAGAAAAGCCAGTTATGTTGCAGGGATGGGCAGAACTGGTAAATGGCCATTTGAGTACATGCACACAAGTCGTCAGACAGCAATGTGTAGTGTGATTGGGACTCATTCAGACTATATTTTGTGTGTTCACCTCAACTCTACCGTCATATACAACAAGTCAAAACCAGATGTGGGAGGGCACGAATAATATACAGTATGGATACTTATGTACCTCAGCTCAACCTACAGTCTCTACAAGCCCAATGCTAGCTGCATATGAAGAGCTCATCTGAACACTATCATCAGACTCTATGAGACCAACTCCAGCTGTGGGAGGAAGGCACATAGTTATGTATTATGGATACTTGTGCATGCCTCAACTCTACTATCAAACTCTATGGGAATTATACCAGCTGTGGAAGAAGAGCATAATTTGTTATGTACTAAGGACTGGTATTGAGTGTGGTCACCTTGACCTACTGAACAGACAGTGGCTACAGGAGGAAGACTTGTTAGATATTTACTGGTACCGTATAGTTAGTGCTCACCTGTACTCAACTGAACAGATTTTATGGATAGACTATCTGCAGGAGGAGGTCACTGTATTATACAACAACAGTCCATATGTAGTGCATGATGTCATTCAGTTACATTTGGAGTGACCTGCATTACGGAAAGAGTGTCACCACTACCCCACTTCTCACCACACTGGTACCCCTTGTTCTAGCCCCAATGGTTAGATGCCAATCAGTAAGGATTCTCAATGGTCTACCACCCAAGCAGCTAGGAACTGGTAAGTAAGTAACTGAGTATAGAGGGGGGGGGGAGATAAGGTATTTGGACCCCCCACTGGTGCTGGTTTTTCGTATGACAGTTTATGGAATAGGTATGGTCTGGATTGGTCAATAGAATAAACACATCACGAAGACACCTCAAGTGATCTTGCATAGTACCTCAACACACAGTGGACATATGTAGAGCCAAGGAAGATGGTATGAGCACTTTCTGTTATCCTGGTTTCATGCATATT